ACTTGGTACAGACACACAAGGTGACACACACAGGTTAAAATGCCAATTAGAGGTTAATGTCCCACATCTGTGACTTTTTAAATTACAATCAGTGTCAGTGTATAAATAGTCAATGATTTTGTTAGCTCTAAACATGGAAGCACTGACTAGGCTAGATACTGAGCCATGGGGATCAGAAAAGAACTGTCAAAAGTCCTGCGTAACAAGGTAATGGAACTTTATAAAGATGGAAAAAAGGACATAAAAGGATGTCCAAAGCCTTGAATATGCCAATCATTACTGTTATATCACCTATTAAGAAGTGGAAAGTTCAGGGATCTCTTGATACCAAGCCAAGGTCAGGTAGACCAAGAAGGATTGCAGCCACAATGGTATGTAATATATGGTTATATATGTAAAAAAAAATAAAAAAATAGGTATGTTTTTTAACCAAGTGAAATATGTTTACTGTGCACGCTATAAAAGCATGAAGTCACATCGCTTAGCCACTCCCTATGAATAAGTCCGGAAGGCATGAAACGCATCACAGATTGGCTGAGCGAGAACCGGAAGTGGTGTACTTTGGAACCGGAAGTGACACAGGACTGTCCGAGAGTGAGGACCGGCAGTGGTGAGAGCGTTGTGCGGTCTTCCCTCTCTGACATTACCATCACAAGAGCAGATTTATAGATCTTTGGGCTTATCTTGCACTATGTTTTTGTAAGTGAGTTTTTTTTAACCCCTTCCCACCGACGTCACACAAATTTTTTTCTCTCTATGAATGGAGAAGAGAAATACATTGTATCTCTCTAACTCCTGGCATAGAGGGGAAAAAAAGTTTGTAAAAAAAAAAAAGATATTAAAAAAAATAAAATAAAATAATGAAAACTACCTAGATCAAGGTTTGATCTAGTTCAGTGCCAGGGTTAGTGTTTGGGTCAAGGTCCCCCAGGATTTAAAAAAATTTGGCGTCATTTTGTGTCAGTGTGTTTTATGCAACAAAAAAAAAAAAAAAAAATGCACTATTGTTTCTGGGCAGTACTCCGGGTACAAACAACATACACATAGATGGTATAACTGCGATCAGCAAGAGCTGGAGAATTTATTTTGGGTTTTTCTTTGGTGGCAGGTTATGGTCGTAACAAGAAACACACAACTAAATTAAAAAAATATATATATACAGTCAGGTCCATAAATATTGCGACATTGACACAATTCTAACATTTTTGGCTCTATACACCACCACAATGGATTTGAAATGAAACGAACAAGATGTGCTTTAACTGCAGACTGTCAGCTTTAATTTGAGGGTATTTACATCCAAATCAGGTGAACGGTGTAGGAATTACAACAGTTTGCATATGTGCCTCCCACTTGTTAAGGGACCAAAAATAATGGGACAATTGGCTTCTCAGCTGTTCCATGGCCAGGTGTGTGTTATTCCCTCATTATCCCAATTACAATGAGCAGATAAAAGGTCCAGAGTTCATTTCAAGTGTGCTATTTGCATTTGGAATCTGTTGCTGTCAACTCTCAAGATGAGATCCAAAGAGCTGTCACTATCAGTGAAGCCATCATTAGGCTGAAAAAACAAAACAAACCCATCAGAGAGATAGCAAAAACATTAGGCGTGGCCAAAACAACTGTTTGGAACATTCTTAAAAAGAAGGAACGCACCAGTGAGCTCAGCAACACCAAAAGACCCGGAAGACCACGGAAAACAACTGTGGTGGATGACCGAAGAATTCTTTCCCTGGTGAAGAAAACACCCTTCACAACAGTTGGCCAGATCAAGAACACTCTCCAGGAGGTAGGTGTATGTGTGTCAAAGTCACCAATCAAGAGAAGACTTCACCAGAGTGAATACAGAGGGTTCACCACAAGATGGAAACCATTGGTGAGCCTCAAACACAGGAAGGCCAGATTAGAGTTTGCCAAACGACATGTAAAAAAGCCTTCACAGTTCTGGAACAACATCCTATGGACAGATGAGACCGACATCAACTTGTACCAGAGTGATGGGAAGAGAAGAGTATGGAGAAGGAACTGCTCATGGTCCTCAGCATACCACCTCATCAGTGATCATGGTGGTGGTAGTGTCATGGCGTGGGCATGTATGGCTGCCAATGGAACTGCTTCTCTTGTATTTATTGATGATGTGACTGCTGACAGAAGCAGCCGGATGAATTGTGAAGTGTTTCGGGAATATTATCGGCTCATATTCAGCCAAATGCTTCACAACTCATTGGACGCTTCACAGTGCAGATGGACAATGACCCAAAGCAGACTGCAAAAGACACCAAAGAAGTGGAATGTTCTGCAATGGCCAAGTCCATCACCTGACCTGAATCCGATTGAGCATTTCACTTGCTGAAGACAAAACTGAAGGGAAAATGCCCCAAGAACAAGCAGGAACTGAAGACAGTTGCAGTAGAGGCCTGGCAGAGCATCACCAGGGATGACACCCAGCGTCTGGTGATGTCTATGCGTTCCACACTTCAGGCTGTCATTGACTGCAAAGGATTTGCAACCAAGTATTAAAAAGTGAAAATTTGATTTATGATTATTATTACTTTTGGTCCCTTAACAAGTGGGAGGCACATATGTAAACTGTTGTCATTCCTACACCGTTCCAATGATTTGGATGTAAATACCCTCAGAGTAAAGCTGACAGTCTGCAGTTAAAGCACATCTTGTTCATTTCATTTCAAATCCATTGTGGTGTATAGAGCCAAAAATGTTAGAATTGTGTCCATGTCCCAATATTTATGGACCTGACTGTATATATATTTTTTTTTTTTTTTACTATTTTGGGCCAGTTTTCCTAAAAAAAAATAATTTGGAGCTATCCATTACCATTTACCACCAAATGAAAGCCCAATTTGTCCTGAAAAAAATTGCGGTATAATCCACCTGGATGTATGAAGTAGTTGTGATGACACGGACGGTTTTACTAACACAGGTCAACGTTGCAGAATTGTAGGCATTTAGATTTGTTTTACCTTCAGGAGTGAAGGGGTTAAGCGGAGATGAAATGGATTTAGATGGTACTGCACCATGGCGGGTCTCTATTTCCTTCTTTTATGGGATATGGAGAGTCCTGATCAGAGGCTATAAATCTGGAGTGTTGGAACCATTGTGAGAAAGAATCGATATACATGAGAGAACATCCTTGTCTGGAAGATTATATGTTTATATCCGTGTTTTTGCCAACCATGAGAGTGGGAGGTAAATACTGTACATTTGATGAGTGCACACCTGAAGGGGGAGCACGGCACTTCTGGAGATTTACAGTCACGTGGTGATTTTATTTGAGCAATTCAACTCGCATGGTGATTGCAAAAGGACTTTATCCATGGACTTTGTTTACGATCACTATGTTATTATTTACAGAGCGCTGCACATATATTGTCATTACAGAGTAGGATTTGTTTGTTAGAATTTGTAAGTGGAAAGTAGCGGCTTAATTTAAATTTGTTTCTTTATCACACTTATGAATTATTAGGAGCGCAGTTTGTATTCAGAAAGGAGATATATATATTTTTTTTTTTTTTTTTTGCCTGGAGATAAAACAGTGTTTTATGTAGTCTCCAGGCCTAATCCGATTGAAAATTTGTGGAGGAGTTGAAAGTTTGAGTTGCCAAAACGTCAGCCACCACACCTTAATGACTTGGAGAGGATCTGCCAAGAGGAGTGGGCCAAAATCCCTCCTGAGATGTGTGCGAACCTGGGGGCCAACTCCAGGAAACGTCTGACCTCTGTGATTGCCAACAAGTGATTTGCTACCAAGTACTAAGTCATGTTTTGTGAAGGGGATCAAATCCTTCTTTCCCTCATGAACATGCAGATCCGTCATCATTTGTTAGACGCATTTCTGCTGAATTTGTTGTTGTATTCTGTCTCTCAGTGTTACACCGAACATTCCATTGTTAGACCGATCATTTCTGTGTGAGGGGCGAACATTCCATTGTTAGACCGATCATTTCTGTGTGAGGGGCGAACATTCCATTGTTAGACCGATCATTTCTGTGTGAGGGGCGAACATTCCATTGTTAGACCGATCATTTCTGTGTGAGGGGCGAACATTCCATTGTTAGACCGATCATTTCTGTGTGAGGGGCGAACATTCCATTGTTAGACAGATCATTTCTGTGTGAGGGGCGAACATTCAGCATCAGAGGGGAGCGAATATGTAATTCCTTCAATCTAGATGAGGCTGAACTATATACACAGTCATATAGAGGGATCTAAACTATCATATAAAAGGAGCCTGAGCTGTATACACAGTCATATAGAGACCCCTGAACTAGAAGCACAGTCCTATAGAGACCCCTGAACTAGAAGCACAGTCCTATAGAGACCCCTGAACTAGAAGCACAGTCCTATAGAGACCCCTGAACTAGAAGCACAGTCCTATAGAGACCTCCTGAACTATATACACAGTCCTATAGAGACCCTGAACTATATACACAGTCCTTTAGAGACCCCTGAACTATATGCACAGTCCTATAGAGACCCCTGAACTATATACACAGTCCTATAGAGACCCCTGAACTATATGCACAGTCCTATAGAGACCCCTGAACTATATGCACAGTCCTATAGAGACCCCTGAACTATATACACAGTCCTATAGAGACCCCTGAACTATATGCACAGTCCTTTAGAGACCCCTGAACTATATACACAGTCCTATAGAGACCCCTGAACTATATGCACAGTCCTATAGAGACCCCTGAACTATATGCACAGTCCTTTAGAGACCCCTGAACTATATGCACAGTCCTATAGAGACCCCTGAACAATATGCACAGTCCTATAGAGACCCCTGAACTATATGCACAGTCCTATAGAGACCCCTGAACTATATGCACAGTCCTATAGAGACCCCTGAACTATATGCACAGTAATTTTACAGACAATGGCTGCCAGTAGGAGTGGTGAGGAGGAGGAGGAGCGCACACAGCTAGTTCTGCAATGGAGTCTATATGAATCCCAGCCTACAGATGGCGTGTACTCACCTCTGCTGTCGCCGTCAGCAGCTTGGAGCCGATACCTTTACCTGTCGGAGACAAGAGGGGTCAGTAGAGGGAGGAGATGCACCATGCGGAGACAAGAGGGGTCAGTAGAGGGAGGAGACGCGCCACGCGGAGACAAGAGGGGGTCAGTATAGGGAGGAGACGCGCCATGCGGAGACAAGAGGGGTCAGTATAGGGAGGAGACGCGGCACGCGGAGACAAGAGGGGTCAGTAGAGGGAGGAGACGCGGCACGCGGAGACAAGAGGGGTCAGTAGAGGGAGGAGACGCGGCACGCGGAGACAAGAGGGGGTCAGTAGAGGGAGGAGACGCGGCACGCGGAGACAAGAGGGGTCAGTAGAGGGAGGAGACGCGGCACGCGGAGACAAGAGGGGGTCAGTAGAGGGAGGAGACGCGGCACGCGGAGACAAGAGGGGTCAGTAGAGGGAGGAGACGCGGCACGCGGAGACAAGAGGGGTCAGTAGAGGGAGGAGACGCGGCACGCGGAGACAAGAGGGGTCAGTAGAGGGAGGAGACGCGGCACGCGGAGACAAGAGGGGTCAGTAGAGGGAGGAGACGCGGCACGCGGAGACAAGAGGGGTCAGTAGAGGGAGGAGACGCGGCACGCGGAGACAAGAGGGGTCAGTAGAGGGAGGAGACGCGCCACGCGGAGACAAGAGGGGTCAGTAGAGGGAGGAGACGCGGCACGCGGAGACAAGAGGGGTCAGTAGAGGGAGGAGACGCGGCATGCGGAGACAAGAGGGGTCAGTAGAGGGAGGAGACGCGGCACGCGGAGACAAGAGGGGTCAGTAGAGGGAGGAGACGCGGCACGCGGAGACAAGAGGGGTCAGTATAGGGAGATGACGTGGCATTCTTGATTTCAAATTTTTCAGATTTATTTTCAAATTTGTTTTTGAATGCATTTTTTGAATTTTGACTGAATTTGGTTTCATGCGATTTGGAATTCGGATACATCCAAGTCTCCGAATCTCTGGATTTTGATTCTGAGGTAAACGAACAGCACCTGTCTAATAGGCGACACTTTAAATGCCTTGCAGGTGACCAGTTTAGGGTCACACAGGAGGAGACCATGGTGGGGATACCTCACACATGTGGTGCGATCACCATTTACATATGTGTGCAGGACCAATGCTTGCGTTTAATAAAGAAGAGATGCAATTTTCATTTTATGTGTACAGAAAGACAGAAAAAGGACATGCACCAGAAAAAAAGAAAATAGAGAAAGACTGAAAAAAAAATAAATAAAAAATGGGAGTAAAAGAGAAAGAAAAAAAAAAAAAAAAAAAAAGAAGGACAACAAGCAGTATTTGGTTGGGTTTCCTTCCCCCATCGTAGATCCGGTATATTCTACCTCTGTACTGCGGTGCGACGTAGAGGTCCTCCAGGAAGAGCGCTCGCCCCGTCCATGTACTGTAGATGTAGTAGGACACGGCGCAACCCACCAACCGCGGCCCTGAAAACATAACACACACAAATGATCACTTTTTTTGCTATGGACCCCTTACTCATTCATGTTGGGGAGGCATTTGGGTGCCCCTTTTTTGTTAAAGGGGGCTTCCAGATTCCACTAAGCCCCCACCCACAGACCCCCCACAACCACCAGCCAGGGTTGTGGGGAGTTTGCCCTTGTCCTCACCAACATGGGAAAAAGATGCTTTGTTGGGAGGATCCCCCTGGCAAGGTACCCCCTCCATGTTGAAGGCATGTGGCCTGGTATGGTTGAGGAGGAGGTGGGGGGGCGGCTATGGGACAGAAAACAGAGGGGATTTTGGGAGCCATGCTTGTAAATGTATTCACATTCCGGCATGAATTATAATATATACTGTATTGTGCTACATATAGTAGAAGAGCTTGGTGGACCGCTGACACGGCTTCACACTCTACACTCCCCAGCAGAATCTCCCCATTGTCTGTTCATTGATGTTCTTCAATGTCTCTCTATGAAATCTTGTATTACTAATGACAAACATTCGGAAATGGTGGAAAGCTGCCCTCTACTGGATATAAATGAGCATTGTGTCTCCCCAGATTTCTAATCATCAAAAGCCCTGCTCTCATGGAATAATAATGCAAAGCACCTCCCACAATGGGGAGATTTGCCCCCAGTAGTTTGTGTCTCTGCCCCTCCCACAATGGGGAAATTTGCCCCCAGTAGTTTGTGTCTCTGCCCCTCCCACAATGGGGAAATTTGCCCCCAGTAGTTTGTGTCTCTGCCCCTCCCACAATGGAGAGATTTCCCCTCCTGATACCTTCTGCTCTTTTCTGTTCATCTTCTTCCTCGGCCACCAGGCAGCGGAATAGAGGGGAGGGCTCCTCGAAGCCGTCACGGCGCAGCCCTGTGGAAAGAAAAAACAGAGAGAGGTGGATATGGATGCCAGGAGGTACATGGGGCAGGATAGTACAGGTGGGGGGGAAAATTGTACAGGGATAGGTGTGTGCATAGGGCAGGATAGTACAGGGGGGGGTTCGTACAGGGAGAGGAGAAGAAGAAGGGGAGAAGAAGAAGAAGGAGGGAGAAGAAGAAAGAAGGAGGGAAGAAGAAGAAGAAGGAGGAGAAGAAGAAGAAGGAGGAGAAGAAGACGGAAGGAGGAGAAGAAGAAGAACGGAGGAGAAGGCAGGAAGAAGGAGGAGGGAGAAGAAGAGGGGGAGAGAAGAAGAAGACGAGGGAGGAGAAAGAGAAGCCGAAGGAGGATAAGAATGAAAAGAAGAAGGGCGGGAGAAGAAGAAGAAAGGAGGAGATGATAAGAATGGAAGAAGGAGGCATGAGAAGAGGAAGAAGAAGGAGAAAGAAGAAGGAGAAGAGCAGGGAAGAAGAAGAAGCAAGAAGAATATAGGAATGAGAAGAAGAGGAGAAGAAGGGGGGGGAGAAGGAACAGGTGGAAGATGAGGATAAGAGGAGACAGGAGAAGAAGGAAGAAGGAGAAGAGAAGAAGGAGAAGAAGGAGAAGAAGAAGAGGAAAAAGGAAGAAGGAAGAAGAAGAAGAAGAAGAAGAGGAGAGAAGAAGGAAGAAGAATGCGAAAGAAGAAAAGGAATCCTAAGAGAGAAAGAAGAAGAAGGAGGATAGGAAGAAGGAAGACTCGGAAAGAAGAAGGAAGAAGGAAGAAGGGGAGAAAAAGACCTCCTAAGGAGGAGCTTCGGTCCCCCCTCCCATCATGGGGAAGAAGAAGAGGAAAAAAGAAGAAGGAGGAAAAGAATGGCTCTGGAAGAGAGAAGGGAAAGAAGATGGAACACTCCCCCCCCTTCTTGCGGTTCCCACTCACCCACGGCGGGAGAAGAAAAGAAGATCCACAGACAAGAAAAAATCATGGAAAAGGGAAGAAGAAGAAGAAGAATAAGGGAAAGAAGACCCCCCCCCCCTCGCCAAGAAGAAGAGAAAAAGGAAGAGAAAAAAAAGGAGAGGAATGGAAAGGGGGAAGGAAGAAGAAGAAGAAAGGAAGAAGAAGAAGCAATCCCCCTAAGAACCCCAAGCCCTCCTCCGTCCTCCTCTCCTCCTTTTCCTCTCCCCTCCTCTCACCCTCCTTTCTCCTCTTTCCCCTCCTCTCCCTTCTTTCTCCTCGCCTCTTCTCCTCCTTTCCTCCTCCTGCCCCCTCCTCCTAACCCCTTCTCCTCCTCCTCCTTTTCTCTCTATTCCCCCCCTTCCCCCTTCCCTTCTCCCCTCCACCTCCTTCTCCTCCTCTGCCTCCTTATCCTTTCTTCCCTCCTTTTCCTTCTTCCTCTTCCTTCTCTCCGCCCCTCCCTCATCCTCTTCCTCCTCTTCCTTCCCTCCTTCTTGCTCCTCCCCCTCCTCCCTTCCCCTCCCCTTCCTTCTTCCTCCTCCTCCTCCCCTCCTTTTCCTCCTCCCCTCCTCCTTCTCTCCTCCTCCTTCCTTCCTCCTTCCCTCCTCCCCTCCTCCTCCTCTTCTTCTCCTCCCCCTTCCCTCTCCTCCTTCTCCCTCCTTCCCTTCCCTCTCCCCTTCCCCTCCTTCTCTTTCCTCTTTTCCCCTTCCCCTCCCTTTCTTCCTCCTCCTTCTCTCCTTCCTCCCCTCCTCCCACTCTCTTCTCTCCCTCCTTTTTCTCCTCCTCCCTTCCCTTCCTCTCTTCTTTTCCTCCCTCCTCCTTTTCTTCCCCTCCCCTCCTTCCCCTCCCCCCCCCTCTCCCTCTCATCCTCCTTTCCTCCTCGTCTTTTCTCTTTCCTCTCTCCTCTTCTCCCCTCTCTTCGTTCCTCCTCCTCCTTCCTCCCCTCTTCTCCCCCCCTTTCCCCTCCCCCCCCTCCCCCTTTCCCCCTCTCCCTTCCTCCCCTCTTCCCTCCTCTCCCCTCTCTCCCTCCCTCCTCCTTCCCTCCTTCCTCTCCCCTTCCTTTTCTCTCCTCCCTCCCTCCCCCCTCTTTCCCCTCCTTTTTTCACTCCCCTCCTCCCTTCTTCCCCCCCTCCCCTTTCCTTCCTCCTCCCCCCTCCTTCCCCTCTTCCTCTCCTGCCCTTTCTCTCCTCGTTTCTCCCCCTTTTCTCCTCCCTCCCCTTTCCCTCTCTTTCCCCCCCCTTCCTTCATCCTCCCTCCTTTCTCCTCTTCCTCCCTCTTTCTCTTCCCTCTCTCTTCCCCCCCCTCCCCCCCCCTCCTCCCCCCTTCCCCCCCTCCCCCTTCCCCTCCTCTTCCCTCCCCCCCCCCTCTTTCTCTTTCCTTCCCCGCCCCCTCCCCTCCTCCCTTTCCTCCCTTCCCTCCCTCCTTCCCCCTTTCTCTTCTTCCCTCCCCCTTTCTTCTCCCCTCTTTTCTCCTCCCCTTCCCCCCCCTTTCCTTCCCTCCTCCCCTCCCCCCCTCCCGATCCCTCCCCTTCCTTCCTTTTCCCCCCTCCCCCCCCCCTTCCCCCTTTCTCCCCCTCCTCCTCCGTTCCGTTCTTCCCTTCCCCTCCCCCCCTCCTCCCCTTCTCTCCCTTCCTCTCCCTCTCCCCTCCCTCCCCCCTTCTTCCCCCCCCCCTTCTCCCCCCTCCCTCTCTCCACCCCTTTCCTCCCCGTTCCCCCCCCCTCTTCTCCTGTCCGTCTCCCTTCTCCTCCTCCCCTTTTCCCCTCCCCTCTCCCCTTCTCCTCCCCCCTCCCCCTTTCCTCCACCTCCTTCTTCTCCCCTCTCTCCCTCCCCCTCCCTTCCTCCCTCCTCCCCCCTCTCCTCCTCCTCCTTCTTCTTCCTTCCCTTTCTTCTCTTTCTCCCCCCTTCTCTCTCCCTTCCTCCTCTCCTCTTCCCCCTTTCCTCCCTCCTTTTTCTCCCCTCCTCTTGCCCCCACCCTTTCTCTTCCCTCCTTCTTCTTCTCCTCCTTTCTCCCATCCCCTTCTCCTTCTTCCTCCTTTCCTTCTCCTCCTTCCCCCCCCTCCCTTCTTTCCCCTTTTGCTTCCCCCTTCCTCCCCTCCTTCCCTCCTTTTCTCCTTGGCCTCCCGCGCTTCTTTCCTTCCCCCTTCTTCCCACCTCCTCTTCTCCCTCCCTCTCCCCCCTTTCCTCCCTCCTCCCCCTCCTTCCTCGTTCTTTCCTATCCCCTTCCTTCCCCCTCTCTACCTTTCCCCTCCCCCTTCTCCTCCCTCTCTCTCCTCCCCCCCTTCCCTCTTGCTCCCCTCCTTCCCCCCCTCCTCTCCCCCCCCCTCCTTTCCCTTCCCCTCCTTTCCTTCCCCTTCCTCCCTTTTCTCCTCTTCTCTTCCCCCCTTCCCCTTTCTCCCCCTTTCTCCTCTCCCTCGCCCTTCTTTTCTCCCTCCTCTCCTCCCCTCCCAATCTCTTCCCGCTCCTCCCCTCCCTTCTCCCCTCCCTCCTCCCTCTACCTCCCCTCCTCCTACTTCGTCCCTACTCCCCTCCCCCCCCCCCTCTCCATCCTCCTGTTCCTTCTCTTCCTCCCTCCTCCCGTCCTCCCCCTTTTCCCATTCCACCTCCCCGCCCTTCCTTCATCTCCCCTCTCTCCTCCCCTCCCTCCATCCTCTCCCCCCCTCCTCTCTCCCCCCTTCCTCCTCCTCTCTCCCCCCTCCCCTTCCTCCTCCCTCCTGTGCTCCGTCCCCTCCCACCCGCCCTCCCCGCGCCTCCCGCCGGCCCCCCTTCCCACCTGACCTCCTCCATCCCCCGCCCCCTCCCCCTCCCCCATCCCCCCCCCCACCCGTACAAGCCTGTGTACCCCCCCCTCTCTCCGTCCCCCTCAGCTACCTCAACAGTATAAACCAGAGAATCCCACAGGTCACGGGCCGGTTCAGCAACAGAAGGTCAGATCAAAGGGAAACGCAGAGAATGGTCTTAGTCACAAGCCGAGTCAGAATACCAGAAGAATCACGAGCGTATACACAGAGCTGTAGCAAGACAAAGACACAAGACACAAGTGCAAAGAGCATGTGCAGATCCCAGGCTTATATGTACTCAGCCACACCCCTCTGGGGATGGACCTCAGAGACCTGAAGGCATAAAAGATTCCCATCATGCTCAGCAGAAATCCAAGATGGATGCTAGCACATGGAGTAACATAAACCCTCTGGGAAAAGGTAGGACCTTGACAGTACCTCCTCCTCAAGGCCCCTCCCCCTCCGCGGCTCAACAAAAGGTTTCCGAGGAAAGCGGGTATGAAACGCGCGGAGGAGGGCAGGAGCATGGACATCCGCGGAAGGAACCCAGGAACGCTCCTCGGGACCATAACCGCGCCAATGAACCAGGAAACTGTAATCGGCCGCGCACCAATCGAGAGTCCAGGATCCGGCTCACCTCATACTCCTCATGACCGTCAACCGAATGGGACGGGGCCGAGGCAGAGAGGTAGTGAAGCGATTGCAGATCAGAGGTTTCAACAGTGATACATGAAAGATATTGGAGATCCGCATCCCAGGTGGAAGGGCAAGGGCATAGGCCACCGGATTCACCTTGCGGAGAATGCGAAAAGGACCGACAAAACGGGGAGCTAGTTTGGGTGTGGGCACCCGAAGATTGAGGTTACGAGTAGACAACCACACCCGATCGCCGACCTGGTATGAAGGAGCGGGCAAACCGTCTGCGATCAGCCTGGAACTTCTGACGCTGAGCCGAGTCCCTCAAAGCCCTCTGGATCTGCCCCCATGAAGAACGCAGGGCAGCAAGATGGTTCTCCACAGCCCGAATGTCCTGTGGTGAGAACCTCTCAGGTAATACCGCGGGTTGGTACCCATAGTTGGCCATGAAGGGGGACATCCCGGAGGAGGAGTTGACCGCTGAGTTCCTGGCAAACTCAGCCCAAGGCAGGAGATCGGCCCAATCGTCCTGATGGTCCGAGATATAACACCGAAGGAATTGTTCTAAGGCCTGATTGGAACGCTCCGCAGCCCCATTGGACTGCGGGTGGTAGGCTGAAGAAAAGGAGAGACTAATGCCCAACTGGGAGCAGAAGGCGCGCCAGAATCTGGACACGAACTGACTCCCGCGGTCCGAGACAATCACCTTGGGCAACCCATGCAGGCGAAAAATCTCCCTGGAAAAGACCGTGGCCAGTTCTTGCGCTGTTGGTAATTTCCTGAGTGGAATACAATGGCACATTTTGGAAAAACGATCGACGACCATGAGGATGACCGTATGACCCCGAGACACAGGGAGGTCTACAATAAAGTCCATGCCCAGGTGTGACCAAGGACGCTCCCCATTGGGAATGGGTTGCAGAAGACCCATTGGAAGATGCCGTGGAGATTTATTCTGGGCACAGATCGAACATGCCGCTACATAAGAGGCGATGTCGGCACGGAGAGTTGGCCACCAGAACAACCGAGAGACGACCCAAGACAACTGGTTCCTCCCCGGATGCCCGGCAGTTTTGGAGTTATGGTAGGTACGCAGCAGACGGGTGCGCAACCCCTCGGGTACAAAACATCTACCCTCCGGTCTCTCGGGAGGAGCGTCAGTTTGAGCCGCCAAAATCCGCTCCCCAAGGGGAGAAGTCAGACTGGTACGAATGGCAGCCAGGATATGATCCGGAGGTATGACCGAGGTTGGCTCAGAGTCCTCCCTGGACAACTCAGAGTATTGCCGCGATAATGCATCAGCCCTGACATTCTTGGAACCAGGCAAATAGGAGACCACATAGTTGAACCGCGACAAGAACAAGGCCCATCTGGCTTGACGGGGTGTCAATCTTTTGGCCTCCGAAAGATAAGTCAGGTTCTTATGATCGGTAAGAATGAGGACCGGAACTGCGGAGCCCTCGAGCAGGTGCCTCCATTCTTTAAGAGCCAGAATGATTGCCAACAACTCCCTATCTCCAATCTGGTAGTTGCACTCTGCAGAGGAAAGCTTCCTGGAGTAGAACCCACAGGGAAGTAGGGGTCCATCGGGCGACCGACGTTGAGACAGGAGAGCCCTACTCCTGTCTCGGATGCATCAACCTCAAGGACGAAGGGCAATCCAGGATTGGGATGAGACAGTATCGGAGCCGAAGCGAAGGCGGATTTCAGAGCCTCAAAAGCTACGATGGCCACGGATGGCCACTCGTGAGGATTGCTGCCCTTCTTGGTTAGGTCTGAGAGAGGTTTTGCCAGCGTGGAGAAATTTCTGATGAATTTCCGATAGTAGTTGGCAAAACCTAAAAAGCGCTGAATGGGCCGAAGGCCATTGGGACGAGGCCACTGCAGAACTGCCGAAACCTTCTGAGGGTCCATGGAGAATCCCTCCGCAGAAATGATGTAGCCTAAAAAGGCAACTTGGGATCGATGGAATTCGCACTTCTCAAGTTTACAAAAAAGTTCGTTCTCACGTAATCGTTGCAGCACCTGCTTGACATCCTGGATATGGGACTCCATGGAGGCAGAGTAAACCAGGATGTCATCCAAGTAAACTACCACGCACTGCTGCAACAAGTCACGAAGGACATCATTTATGAATTCCTGAAAAACTGCGGGCGCGTTACACAACCCGAAGGGCATCACCAGGTATTCGTAGTGACCGGTTCTGGTGTTAAACGCGGTCTTCCACTCATCCCCCTGTTTGATCCGTACGAGGTTGTACGCCGCCCTAAGGTCAAGTTTGGTAAAGACTGTTGCCCCCTTAAGGCGGTCGAACAACTCAGTAGTAATCAAGGGAATCGGGTAGGCATTCTTAGTGGTGATTCGATTGAGACCCCTATAATCGATGCAAGGCCTCAATTCACCACCCTTCTTCTTTACAAAGAAAAAGCCCGCTCCTGCTGGGGAAGTAGACTTACGAATGTGCCCCCGGGAAAGCGCATCCGCAACGTACTCCTCCATGGCCTTATTCTCCGCAACCGAGAGAGGATACACCCTGCCACGCGGAGGAGTGGCACGGGTTGCAAGGATATGGCGCAGTCGTAAGGACGATGAGCAGGTAAGGCACCAGCGCGTACCTTATCAAACACGTCCTGGTACTCCCCATAATCAGTGGGCAACGCAGAGTCTGAGGAGGCACACAACACCTTAACCGGCCCACGGATGCACCCGGCCCCACACTGTGAAGACCACGAGAGAATCTCGGCAGTTTGCCAATTGAAGGTTGGATTGTGCATCTGGAGCCAGGGATACCCCAAAACCACCGAATAGTGCGGAGAAGAAATCACCTGGAAACAGGCCAACTCCCTGTGAACAGCCCCAATAGCTACCTCAACTGGCATAGTCTCGTGGGTAACCTGCGGTGGTTGCAGGGGCCTGCCATCTATCGCCTCGAGAACCAATGGGGTAACTCGAGCCTGCAGGGGAATGGAGTGCTGGGCAGCAAACGAGCTGTCCATAAACAACCCGCCAGCCCCAGAATCTACCAACGCCTGGGCCGTCACCGAGCCCTCCGCCCAAGAGAGGACAACGGTGATCAGTGGCTTATCTCTGCGGAACGCCGGGGACGAGGAGACTCCACCCAAGATCTGTCCCCGACAGGATCTCAGGTGCGAGCGTTTCCCGGACGGACCGGACAGGACAGCCGAAAGTGCCCACCAAGACCACAGTACAGGCAGCGACCCTCCCGACGCCGAGCGGCCCGCTCTCCCTCAGAAAGGCGAGCAAACCCCAGCTGCATGGGCTCACCACCAGACAATCTATCCCCAGGAGGCGTGGGAGGAGAGGGAGGAATGGGTGGGATAGAAAACGCAGGTGCCAGTCGATTGGAAGGCCTCCGCAGGCGTTCCTTGAGTGAAGGCCTCTCCCTGAGCCTGGTATCAATCAGGATCAGGAAGGAAAAATTAGTGCTTCCAGCTCCACAGGCAATTCCTTGGCTGCGATCTCGTCCTTCAATGCATCAGAAAGACCCTGAGAAAACGCAGCCACCAGAGCCTCATTGTTCCAACCCACCTCTGCTGCCAGGGTACGAAACTCTATGGCGTACTCGGCCACGGTCCGTGAACCCTGATGCATAGACATGAGCAGCTTGGCAGCCGAGGCGGAGCGAGCCGGTACATCGAATACCCTACGGAAGGCATCGACAAAACCGGAAAACTCGTGAATCACGGGGTCATTCCTCTCCCATAAGGGATTCGCCCAGGCCAAGGCCTTGTCTGAGAGTAGTGAGATGAGGAAACCCACCTTTGACCTCTCAGTCGGAAAAGCGTAGGGGATTAATTCAAAGTAAATCCCCACCTGGTTAAGGAACCCACGACACTGACTCGGCTCACCCCCAAAGCGCTGTGGAAGAGGGGCTGAACCGGTCATACCTCTGGACACCGCGGGTGCCGCATCAGCCGCGGCGGTAGGCACAGCAAGCGGAACAGCAGCGGGAGCGACCACCGGAGTGACAACCGGCCTAATAACACCAGGAGTAAGGTGCGCGGTGCGTGCCAGCAGAGTTTGCAACGCCTGAGCGAACTGATCCAACAGGAGATCCTGTTGATCCAGTCTGGCAAACCAACATAGGAAGTGAAGGCGTACCTGCACCGTCAGGATTCATGGCACTTGTGTAATGTCAGGGCAGGGCCGTGGAACGGACAGGTAGGCCTAGTGGCAGGGTAACGCACTGGCTGACGACAACCACCACCAACAGACTGAAGTCCCTCAGGGCGCGGAGTCTAAGTCCCAGGCTGCCCTTCACCAGGGCCCCTGATGGTGGGGATGGACTTGACGCAACCAGGGACCAGGTCGCGGCCCCCGAGACACCCCAGCTGCGGTAATGGCCGCCGCCAATGGCGTGTAGTTGGTGAGAATGACAATAGCGTAGTCAGACAAGCCGGGTCAATAACAATGGGACAAAACAGTACAGAACAGTAGACAGAGAATCACAGGTCACGGGCCGGGTTCAGCAACAGAAGGTCAGATCAAAGGGAAACGCAGAGAATGGTCTTAGTCACAAGCCGAGTCAGAATACCAGAAGAATCACGAGCGTATACACAGAGCTGTAGCAAGACAAAGACACAAGACACAAGTGCAAAGAGCATGTGCAGATCCCAGGCTTATATGTACTCAGCCACACCCCTCTGGGGGATGGACCTCAGAGACCTGAAGGCATAAAAGATTCCCATCATGCTCAGCAGAAATCCAAGATGGATGCTAGCACATGGAGTAACATAACCTCTGGGAAAAGGTAGGACCTTGACAAGAAGGAGGAGGAGAAGAAGGAGGAGGAGAAGAAGAAGGAGAAGAAGGAGGAGGAGAAGGAGAAGGAGAAGGGAGGAGGAGAGAGGAGAAGAAGGAGGAGAAGAAGAAGAAGAAGGAGGAGAAGAAGAAGGAGGAGAAGAAGAAGGAGGAGGAGAAGAAGAAGGAGGAGGAGAAGAAGGAGGAGGAGAAGAAGAAGGAGGAGAAGAAGGAGGAGAAGAAGGAGGAGGAGAAGGAGGAGGAAGAGAAGGAGGAGAAGAAGGAGGAGAAGAAGGAGAAGAGGTCTGGCCTACCCTCCCCCCTTTCCTGATTTTCCTGCAATTGTCTGACTGAGAAGCTCATTGAATGATCTGATTATCCCAAATATGTGCAGAAAATGATGACTGACCCAGAATATTCCTCCCTCGCGCCAAATACCCCAAATTGGGTGTCACCAACCAGAAACAAGGAGAGCTCAGCACCACCTACCTTCTGCTGTGTTCTTCACCTGATCCGACAGATTCTCATATTCCGCCAATTCCTGCAAAATACAGAGAGGATGAGCTACAGGGTGGTCCTTAATTTCTAAGTCCTTATTAGTACTTCTCTATGAGCCCCCAGTCTGGGGAAAGCAGTTAGGACCATACTGCGGTTTGTGGGGGAGCGATAGGCCTAGGCACAGGTTCCCCTGTAGGAGGTCCAAGGACATCTCAGGCACCTTCTGTTTGTACCTGTTGGAGTGAAGGAACTTCTTGCATGTAATCTACATACCACCTCCATCCCGCTCAGCAATATAGCTATACAATATACACTTGTGAATCCTCTTAATACAGAAAAAGGCTAAAAAACCACAACTTTATAATAAATTAGTGGAATCCACTACAGAATATGAAAAAGTGAAACCAGACATGAAAACTGAAGAAGTGCTCAGTCCAACATACTATATTGCCAAAAGTATTGGTTGGCCAGCCTTCCCACGCACATGACCTTTAATGGCCCCCCAGTCTTAGTCCGTAGGGTTCAATATTGAGTTGGCCCCGCCCTTTGCAGCTATAACAGCTTCACCTCTTCTGGGAAGGCCGTCCACAAGGTTTAGGAGGGTGTCTATGGGAAGGTTGGACCATTCTTCCAGAAGCACATTTGTCAGGTCAGGCACTGATGTCGGGGGAGGAGGCCTGGCTTGCAGTCTCCGCCCTAATTCATCCCAAAGGTGTTCTATGGGGTTGAGGTCAGGACTCTGTGCAGGACAGTCAAGTTCCTCCACCCCAAACTGGCTCCTCCATGTCTTTATAGACCTTGCTTTGTGCACTGGTGCGCAGTCATGTTGAAACAGGAAGGGGCCATCCCCAAACTCCTCCCACAAAGCTGGAAGCATGAAATTGTACAAAATGTTGCCTTAAGAGTTCCCTTTACTGGAACTAGGGGGCCAAGCCCAACCCCTGAAAAACAACTCCACACCATAATCCCCCCTCCACCAAACTTTACACAATGCAGTCAGGCAAGTACTGTTCTCCTGGCAACCGCCAAACCCAGACACGTCCATCGGATTGCCAGATAGAGAAGCATGATTGGTCACTCCAGAGAGCACGTCTCCACTGCTCTAGAGTCCAGTGGCGGCATGCACCTGAATTACATGATTGGGAGGGGATTGGAACACCTGAATTACATGATTTGTAGGGGATTGGAACACCTGAATCACATGAATTGGAGGGCTGTCCCAATACTTTTGACAATATAGTATATATTCTCCGAGATTCTATCATATCTGGAAAGGTGGTGAGAAAACGTGATTATTCCACCAAATCAATGATCAGCCTCTTACTAAAAATATTTATTTCACTTTCCAGAGATCAATACACACTTGTGTTCTCATACTCAGCCCTCATCTCACTGGTAAGATACCTTCACCGCCTCCTCAGCATAATGTGACAGACACCAGAAGGAATCTTCTTGTGCAATGGACAGATATTCCCTCCGGAGAAGATCAAAAGACCGCAATGGTGTTATATTAAAAAACTATTTTTTATTTAAATAAGCAAACTTATACTCACAAACATAAGAAGAGCATGTAATAACATCCTGGATTTCATCATATTTATACAGTACATGATATAAGAACAAAATTCTTTGGGTTTTCATTACACCTCTTGAGCAGGGGCGGACTGACCATTTGGAAACTTGGTCACTGCCCGAGGGCCCAGGGTCAGTAGGGGGCCCCATGAGATGCCCCTGGTACCTTTTTCATAGGATTTTTTGAGTTTGGGCAAGGGCACAGGGGCCCCATGATCCCCTATTGCCCGGGGACACCATGAGTTGTCAGTCCGCCCCTGCTCTCGAGTACTTTACACATAAAACATCTACGACAGGTAAAAGAGCCCTTTAAATCACCAAAGATATTTTTGGGGGAGGGTTAACCACTTTGGGAGCAAGACAATCCCTCAATGTGGAGGCTTTACGAAGAATAATGGGGGGGGGGGGGGGGGGGGGGTTTCTCAGGTAAAACTGGTCCTAATATCTTATAGTTTTCATATGGGTCGCACTTATTATAAATTTGTGGTTTGTTAGCCTCCCCCTATGGTTCTGCCACAGCCAGGCAACAAGCATTTTTCTTCCACACCTTGCATAATGCAGTCAGTAAACAGCTCTTGAGCTCATTTTTAGGTTTTATTAAAGGGTTTTCAACCTGGATGGGGTTGAGGGGTGTATGGGACACCCAAGGAAACAATTACTTGAAGACAAACTCCCTAACAACTATATACAAGTCCATGAATAGTGATATTTCCTCTCAAAGAGCTCTCCAACCCTCCTGGTGTACCACCTCAGACCCCAGCTGCCTAAAGGAATCCCTGGGCAAGGAGACCCAGAAGCTGCCACTTTAAAATTAACAGTCCCGGATGAGGCACTAGTCGGGTTTCCCACCCAAATGCCCATTCCCCTTATCTGGCCCAGGGAGTGTAGGATTATTCACTCTGCCGCTCCTGCAAACATGTTGGGTTGGCGGCTGCCTTCAGGCCTTACGCTAGGATGGCTCCTTCCCTGCTTCACAGGCTGTCCTGTCTCAGGGGACAGTTGAGGTAGAGAGATCCTCCTTTCAGTTCCAGCCTGATGGTAGGCCTCTTTCCTGGGCCCCGCTCCCAGACTCCACACACCAGCCTTCACTTCATCTTCCACCCAACACTCACTAACCATCTGCTCCCAGGCTCTGTGATACTTGAGGGTCCCATGCCCAACTGCCTGCCAGGGGAGTGGCCAAGGCCCCTCTAGTATGTAGATCTGAATTTCCTCCTCTACCTCATCCCTCCTCCAGAAAGCTCTTGGTTTCTGGAGAGGTAGTAGAAATCTAGAAACTCCGACCCTCAGAACCTCCCTAGCCTGTCCTGAAATGACCTCACTCATAGGCAGACTCATTCATAGCCGCTATCCAGCCTCATAAAAAAAGAAAAAAAAAAAAAAAAAAAAAAAAAAAACACCTAGCTAACCCCCCCTGGCTTACCAGAGGGGCACTACACACATGTATGCCTCACTCACAGATTGGTGTGGTGGGCAGGATGACAGAAACAGCATACCAAAGTGGAAGATTTAGTGTGAGAATGGCCATGGTGCCTTAGGAGCAGCACTGACATCAAACCCAAACTTTAATGGCATGAATATTCCTCCCGACAGTGTGAGCAGAATGACTGGAGAGCACTGCATTTTGCTCAAAATGCTCACAGCATACCACCCTGATTTAGCTATCAGTTCCCTGGGTGGTGGGGCGCATCAGATGGTGTTAGGCTTGCCCAAGAAGGAGAGGACTATACAGCAGCCAGAGGTGGTCCCTTGGAACTGCCTGGATGGCGAAACTCAGGGGAGACTATTCCTCAATATGCTGTGGCCTTACAGGAGCTTTGAGACCTCCTGGAAGTCAAACAAACTTGGCTGTGCAGGTGATACATGTCCAGTCTGGGCAGCTGAATATGCCTTACAGGGTTGTAAACACGGTGAAAGTTGTAACCATCCTCCAAGCTATAGAATGGGATTGAGAGGATGAAGGAGCTTGGGTAAGAGCTGCCTCATGGACTCTGACAATGGGCTACAAGACTCCCTCTCATGTCTGTGTTAGAGGAGGCTATCAAAGAACTGAAAGAGCCCATGACCCCCATTAGGTAGGAGATGATGGAAAGTCACAGTCATTTCATGGAGATGGTTCCTTCAACAGGAACTATGGTATAGATCATATCTGTTGGTGTTGTAGCCTCCCTGGTCATTTCACCTGGAATTATAGGTGAGAGAGACCTATCACCTGAATAATGTTTTCCCCTCAAAGTTAAGAATGGCAGGACAGGAGAACAAAATGCAGAAAGTACATTTGTCCGGTCTCCAACTTGGAGCCAAGGTGGCTGCCTCTTGTCCAATAATGACAGAAGTAATGGATGAAAGGCTGGTGTGCTGTGTGATGAATGCTGGATCTGAGGTTTCTACCATGAACTTATATCAACATTATTAACTGTATCGGACTTTGGACTCTCCTCATACAACACTGGAAGCTGCCAAGAAGTAATCCATTCCTGTGGTAGGGGGCAGATGAAAATGTGAGTGTTCAGAGTGGTGGTGACCCATAGTTCTGCTCTTCTAGATGTCCTTGTTTGAGGCATGAATGTGGTACAGGAACTGAATATACATCAGCTTCTGCAAAACTCTCTAAGGCCCCATTCACATCTGTGTGTTCCTGGAAACGTGTGAAAAAAAAAAAAATGTGCCAAAACTTGCATCACACTTGTGGTGCCATTTTTTCTTAATGGCACACCAAACATGGCTAGGAGGGGTACATCATGTTGTTCAGCAAAACTTGTAAGGCTCACTGCCCATAAAAGATAAAGGAGCAACTTTGGTGCGTTTGTCGCTTGTAGAACAGTCTAAATGAATAGGCTGCCCTGTGTGGTCATTGTGCAGGTGTGAATGGGCCCAAGATCGAAGCAGTATGTTGATACCTAGCGGCAACAGAATCGGAATCCAGATGCAAGAATCCTTCCAGAAATGTAAGTAGAAGACTCCATGACAAGTACAGGCCTGGGCCTACTCTTCTCGCAACGAATGTCTGTTTATGCAATGCAGTCCTGAAGGAGCAACGTATGAAGAAGCAGCAGGTGAAACCAAACCCAATGTGATGGTCATGTCATCTCTACAGAAAGTAGGTTCTCCAGGTTCAAGAGATTGAAACATGCCATGTCAGCAAAACCCATACAAGCAGTGAGCTAGAGGCCAGATGGGAGTCAAGCCTATACTTGGGTGGACAGCAGCCTTCCTTTGGGTGGCTGGTTGTGTCTGAGGAGCAAAGTGGACTTCTCAAGCCCTTGTACCGAGATCTGCTCTGACCCGGTGTGGTCAGTGTGGACTCCTAGGCTCTGGATAAGGTACCCTGTGATTAGACTAGTGGGAATGGTGTCTTCCTCCAGTTGAGGATTTGTCAAGAAAACCCTGAAGATGAGCAGTCATTGGACACTGAGTCTCACGTGCCTAGGTGAACTACTAGAGGGGTCATGCCTGTCAAGTAGTCTAAAT